GCCTCCCACCAGACCTGTGCTCAGGTCTCATGCAGTTCCCATGGTTAAACAGCATCTCCTGTCCCACCACTGCTGGTGACAGCCCTCCACAATCACATGTCCATGCTGGTATCCAGGTTCTTCTGTACTTTCTAGATGGTCCCCACATTGCTGTGCCACTGGTCAGTGAAGTGGCTGCCTAGAAGTTGCATCTTTTTCCCAGATGAAAAGCTCAGTTTTCTTTCTAGCACCACATCTCCCCCTCCATGGCTTGGCTGTGCCAGCATAGGCAGAGAACTGCACACCGTGCCACCTGCAGTGCCTGCTCCTCTTGCAGCCACACAGGCCCTCTCTGCTGCCTTGTTTCACACAAATATTTGCATTAGCCATGTCCCATCACCACGCAGCTCCTGTGCCTCTCCCCGTATGCCTCTCATGTTTTCAAACAGCAGACTACATATGGTTATTTTTTGCTCATGTTTCTGACTGTCTTTGGTCCCTATTGCTACTTCTCAGATTTTTATCTGGAAATATCATTAATGAGAGATTTGTTTCTGCTCCAAGATCCTTCCTGGAAATGCTGTGCTGGAAACAACACAACCTGCTGTATCCAACCTGAATCACTGAGCAACTGTGCATATCTGTTGTTCATCTTGTGACACAGCCTTTCACCCAATCTTAATGACAGCAAACCCCCAAAAATCCTTTTGAAGCTGACCTAGGCAAGGGCATCCCCTGAAGAACTGTCCCTAGGGCTTGACTGAGAGCACGTGCTTTGAACTTTCATGTTCCTTTCATCTGCACCAATTTACCTCACAAGCAAGCAGCCAGGGAGCGTGGGGGCTGCAGCAAAATGGAGTGGGGGAGCAGAGGCAGAAAGCATGAGCCAGGAGTCAGGAACATGGGCAAGATCTCAGCTAAATTAGCTGGGGACAGAAGGAAGGTGGGAGCCCAGCTGCAGCTGGTTTTAGACTAACAAGGCCTCCAGGCTCTAAGGCTCAGTTTAACTGCCATTGCAAGCCCCTACTATGTCCTTGGGAAGAGACTAGTGGTGCTGTAAGCCAAGCAAGAGTGTGGCAAGCCAGGGACCTGCTGGCAAGGCAGAAGATGGGGCTCTCTGCCATGCTGGGACTAGCTCCCATCCTCCAGCTTTCAGGTGCCAGCCTCTCATGGGGAAGCCAGGAATGTGGTTCCTGTCCTTCACCTGCCTTGTCTGCTCAGCTGGAGCTGCTTGGGATGTGCTGTGCCAGGAGACACAGGGGACAGCCCTTCCAGTACCAGTTCAAGTGTTCCTGATAGGATGCTCCTATCAGCCAGAGGACATGGTGGCACCGGCAGCAAGTGATGGAAAAGGAGACTGAGTGCCTCTCCTCACTGAACCTCCCTTCAGAGAGGCAGTGTCCTTGGTGTCAGAGGGGGACTTGGCACCTCAGCCTATGTGACAAGTTTTAACGGGCTGCTTTGTCTGTGCAGCTCTGGTTAGAAATACTCTTACTCAAACCCACGTCAAAACAAGCTGGGCCTGCTTCCAAAAACTGAGTTACTTTTGCCTTGTTAGGCTTTTACATCAAGCAACACTTCAGTTTCTCCAGCAAGCAGGTTTTCAAGCAGACAGGAGCACCTGGAACAACCTGTTTCAATTAGCATTTTACTTATTTATGGCGCCAGTGCTATATCCAACGCCTGTGGGCTGCAGAGGAGCCACCCAGCTCCCCTGCACCGGCTGTGGAGAGCACTGCTGCACTGCCCTGTGGGTCAGGACACAGTGGGAATATGTAGGGATGTGCTCACACTTGCCTGCTTTATTTCAAGAAGAATCCTGGAGCTGTGCAGCCCCAGCTGGGTGTGGGTCACCCAACGCCCCTAGCTCCAGCTGTAGCACCAATGGCTGCAGCTTTTGGGTCACCTAAACACCCAAACGTGACACAGGAACCCCACAGAGCCACCACTATCACCTGCACACACACCAGGCAACCTTTCTGGAGGGAGACACTCACTCTGCTGTGCCTGCTGACCTCCAAAGCACCCATGAAACCTGAGCTGCCTCACAACACTGTCGTGGCAAACAGATGTTCCAGAATTGCTAAACTCTTTCCACAGTTTAGCATTCTGCTTGTCAAATTTATCCTATCTCCTCTTCAGCAAGGAGCAACAGAAATAATCTTTGGTCATCCCATCTGTTCCTGATCCTGCAGTTCTCCCTGGAGATTTGCTGCTGCCTCAATTGGGCTGCAAACTCCGTGGGCAGGAGCCAGTTTTGGTGCCTCTCAGTAAAAAGTCATGTGCACCTCTGTGCCATCATGAAGTCTGCTAAAAGGCAGCCTGACCCAAGCACAAGGTCACTGCCTAAGGAAGCAATCATGAGAATTTCTGCTCAGTGAAAGCTCATCACGTGAAAAAGGCCAAAAGGAGCCTCCAGCTTGCCCTGGAGGGACAATGCACCATTTATGCCATGAGCAGGATAAAGGCAAATGAGATCTCGGGAGATGGCAGGCAAAATACTTTCAGTGTGTGCAAAAGCATGTGAAAGGAAGGATTCTCAGGGAGACCACGAGGAGGGAGAGCTTTGGCCACCAGAAGAGTTTGGTTCATGGAGTCTGGCACTGCAAAGTCTAAATATGGATGCAATCAGTTTATAAACACCCAGGGGAAAACACCAGGGACGGAAAAGCACCATTTAAACTGAAGGGCAAAAGATCACAAAAGTAAACAGATACCAAACAGATTTACAATGGAAAACCTCTGACCACTGGAACCATGGAACCCCCTCTCAGAGGAAGTGAGAAGGGAAGAAAACCACAAACTAGTCTTTTTTCAGAAAAGCTAATGCAATTTATGGAAGGGGCCATAAAGGGTCTGATGCTTGCGACAGCCTGAGAGAGGGTTTCACTGCCCACAGGGAGTTCTCTTGGTCTCAAGTTTAAAGAAAAGACCAAAACTACAACTAAATATTTGGGGTGAGCTTTTGGTTTCCCTGCTTTGTTAAAGGAGAGATGCTCAGGACAACACACAAGACCAAGCCAGTGGAGAAGCAGGAGAAGGAAGGCATAGCCTTGCACCATGATGGCCATGCCATCCTCCCTTGCTGGACTGCTGACCTGGAGCATCTCCAGCTTCTGCAAAAGAACTTCAATTTCCAGGGCCAAGTGAAGTGTCTGGGGTAAATCCCATCCTGTCCTCTGTCAAGGTCAGATGGGCAGGGAGAAATAGCGTGGGGTCCCAAGGAGATGCTGCTCTGTAGAAAGTGCCTCTTGCCAGGGGAGACCTTGCAGGGCACAGAAATGAGCTCAGCAATCAAGCCAACAGCGTCTGAGATAGTCTGAAGCAGATTAGGTGCCTAATTAAAAAACAAATGTATTTCTTGTTCTCTCTCCCTCACCTGGTGCCTCTGGGAAGCCAAAATCCTGCAGTGCTTGGACGAAAAAAACCCACCAGACTGAGAGGCAGATAGAGAAAACATAAAATTCTGCCACAGAGATTAGCAACGGGAGAGCCTTTGTAGGTCACATCACGTCCATCATCCCTGGGCACACAGGCTGGCTCCACTCCAGCCTCCCAGGGGCGGGGGGCACGCGTACCCCCTCGCCTGGCGCCCAGCAGCAGCTCCCCCCGCCAGTGTGGTGCGCTGTACCGTAAACAAGCTCGGGCAGATGGACAGACAGACAGAATGCCCACATTAATCACGTCCTCAGCTGTCCTGGCACTCTCCAGCCACCCCCCAAGTCGCCCGGAGGAGATATCACACAGGTTGGGAAGGCAAGGGCTGCCTCTCCACCAGCACCAGCAAGCCAGGCCACCTTCCCTTTTCCTCCTTGATTGCACCTGGCACTGCTTTTATTTTATTTTATTTACCAAAGCCAGCCACCCGCTTTGCCTCGCAGCTCCCGTGCGCATGTGTCTCCCCGGCGCTCTGCCTGCCCTCCCTTCTCCTCTCCCGGCTCAGACCTCAATCTCTCCCCCGCCAGCTCGCTGCTGCAGCTCTGCTCCCTTAATCCCAATGACCTTCTTGAGCAAACGCGCCAGCCCCATGGGCAGCCATGAATCCGCGTCACGGGAAGAGGGAGAAACCTTCCCGTGACACCCCCGCTAGGCTCCTCTTTCTCCCTGTCCCCTTCCCCGCGAATCACCAAGAGGAAAACGCTACAGGGAAGCAGGTTAGGGGGCTGAGAGGATAGGGGTAAAAGGCAGAGCAACCTCCAGCCCCCAGAGCCCCTTCAACTCCCCCAGCGCGGCCTGAGCCCGGCACCCTCTGACCCACAGGGAGGCAATTCCAGGACTGCAGCATCCCCCCTCCCGGGCTCCCCTGACACCCCACATCCTGCCGTCTCCCTGCATCCACCATAAACACACAGGCATGCAAGAGTGAGAGAAAACAGCCCACCCTGGAAAGCACCAGAGACCGAGACAGGGTCATGGTCCAACCTGACTCATCCTGTCCCTCCCCACGGGAGAAACCCCAAACCGGCCTGCTCTCACCCCATATGGGCCTATACTCACACACAGATATATGTGCATACAGCTGTACATCTATGTGCATGCATACGTGTGGATATGCCTGGACATTTATACACACAGTGATATATATATATATACATAAACCCAGAGACAGACCCTACAACCATATCTGTAACAGAGGCATAGCCATAAACGCTACGGAAGCATATATGTACATATCTCTGTGTACAGACCTAGGCTGTGTGGAGACATATTGATGGACACATGCATATTATATATATATGTGGATACATGCGCATACACATGCATATATAAAGCATATAATAATAAATATGTAATACATAACAGCATATGATGATAACATATAATAACATATAATGCTATGTAACATACAGCGTAATGATTTTATGTGTGTGAGTGTGTATGCAGGTGTGCAGGAAGGTCAGGGTCGGTGGCAGCCGCCCGCCCGTGAGGGAGCCCCGCGCCCCCCGCAGCCCGGCGGGCCGCCCCCCGCCCCGGTGCCGGTGCCGGTGTCGGTGCTGCCCGCGGGGGCGGCGGGGCCTTACCCAGGAGACGAACCGCAGGATGGTCTGCGGCTGCCGGATGAAGGCCTGCGGGTCGAAGGCGCCGCCGGCTTTCCCCGCTCCGAAGGCGCCCCCGTCCATGGCGGCGCGGGGGTGGGCGGGAGGCAGGCGGGGGGCTCGGCGGGCGGTGCCGGGCTGCGCCGAGCCGAGCCGGGCTGCGCCGAGCCGCGCCGAGCCGAGCCGTGCCTGGCAGCCCGGCGGCGACGAGCCGCGCGCGCCCGCCCACGGGGACGCGCCGCGCCGGGAGCACGCAGCCTCCCCTTCCCCCGCCCCGCCGCCGCCGCGGCCGTCCGCGGCACATTGCGGGGCAAACGCGGGGCCCTGGGGCCGCAGGGTGCGGGGTGCCCGGGGTGCGGGCACTGCGGGGCGGGGAACACCTCCGGTACCGGGGCAGGACACCCAGACCCCGGGGCAGGGATGGGGGCGATGTCACCCTTGGGTTCTGCTGTGGGGCCCAGCAGTGCCAGCCCCCCGCCCGCCCACAGCCTCTGCTCGGCCCCAGGGAGCTGTGCCCAGCCCTGGACTTCCCAGGCAGGGGACAAATAGCCACCGGAGGGGGTCCCGCAGAGGCCGCAAGGATGATTTGGGGTCTGGAGCGTCTCTTAGGAGGAGAGACTGCGGGAGCTGGACCTGTTTGGTCTGGAGAACAGGAGACTGAGAGGGATCTCATTAATGCATATAAATATCTCAGAGGTGGGTGGATGTGCCAGACACTTTTCAGTGGTGCCCAGCAGAGCAATAAGCTAAAACACGACAAATTTCACTTCAACATGAGGAAGAACTTCTTTACGTTCGAGGTGGCAGAGGCAACTGGAATAGGCTGCCCAGGGAGGTCATGGAGCCTCCCTCTGCAGAGACGCCTCGTGCCTTCCCATGTCACCTGCCCTAGGTGTCCCTGCCTGAGGACGAAGTGATCTCCAGAGGTCCCTGGAGGAAAGGGACCTCTTTAGGGACTTTTAAAAGGAACTTTTTAGCAGTTAGTCCTGTCATTCTGGGATGCCTCCCGACAGAGGGGTAAGGCTGGGCCCTTGGGCCCAACCTGGTATCCCTCACCAGGTGCCTGCCCTGGACAAAGATGCTCGGTGAGCCTCAGGATCACTCTGCAGCAAAGCCTGGGGTTCTCGTTTCCAGCATCCACCACCCCACCCACACTGCATCCTAGGAGGGGGTGGAAAAAGGCCCTCTGTGAACATGGGGCCTCCAGATTTTGGGGAGACTCCCTGACTCTAGGAGGCAGAGACTGCACAATACACACCTTGCACTCCATAGGCTGCAGCCTTGACAGTAACTTGGGCTTCTCCATTTCTCACATTGCCACCATGGCCCCTGGCACAGCCAGGAAGGGATGTGTGGGGAGAAGCCTTCCAGCCTTAGGAGCAATTCCAGCCCCTCAGCATGTGCCTGTTGGGCAGAGTAGCTGCACACCAGTGGTCTGTTGGCTGCTGCAAAGTCCCTAATAATCTGGAATGGAAAGCAAGCCCTTGGGTTATGACATGGTTCCCTAAGCCCAGCAGTGGGAAAAAACGTACAAGAGTGAAAGGCGAATGTATGAGGGAGATGGAGGAGCATTTAAAGCCAAGCCATGGGCTCCCATTGGGAGTTCCAAAGAGTGAGCAACCTTTCCTCACCTTTTGTGGGGCTCCTTTTGAGGGGCGGGTTGGTGGTAGAAGATGGACATTCCTCCATCACATCCAGCTACAGAATTCTACAATGGTTTGGGCTGGAAGGGGCCTTAAAGGTTATCTGGTCCAAACCTCCCTGCAATGAGCAGGGACATCTTCAACTAGATCAGCCTGCTCAGAGCCCTGTCCAACCTGACTTTGGATCTTTCCAGGGATGGGCCATCTCTGTTTTAGGAAGATGAGTTGCAGTGCCAGCACAGCTGGATCCTTAGCTCTCCAGTTCATTCTGGGTGCAGGAATCTCCTCGCTGTGTTGTGTCAAATACATCCTTATTTGTCAGCCCCAGGAGATCTTGAGGGTGCCCCATGTGTGGGAGGCACCAAACCACCCAGCTCTGGCTTCCACTGATACCATTGCCTTGGGTTTGCATCCTCTTCTGTACCACAAACAATAGTGGATTAAGGCCCATGTTCATTATAATAACACAGATGAATTTTCACAAAATTAATATAAATTAAATTTTGAAACTCCATTTCTAGAAAAAAAACTGAAATAAAAATTCATGGAATGAAATCTCAAAATTTCATGAAACTTAGTGACATTTTGAAATTTCATGAAGTGAAATTAACATTATGAAATTAAATTTAATTAAATGAAATTAAATGGAGAAATGAAATGAAGCTTGATGAAATGAAACGAAGCGACAAGTCAAGTTTTCATGATATTAGGTGAAATGTAGTTGAATGAAATGGGATGAAGTGAAATAAACATTATCTGTTATGACCGAAGTTCCCCACAAACCCCGCTAGATGGTTTACTCGGTCTTGTTTTTCTGCGCATCGGTGCCCGCGCACCTTTTTGGACGCGCTCGCCGCCCGTAGCGCCGCGCGCCCTCTCGCGAGACCGAAGGCCGGGGCGCTTATAAAGGCTGCGCGCGGCGCGGGCGGCCCTTCCGGCCCGGCGCGTGGACAAGATGGTGGGTGCCGAGGGCTCGGGCCTGGCCGCGCATCCCGCGGGCATCGCCGCCATCCCGGCCCCGTCTGCCGCGTGGCCCCGCGCCCGCCGCCCCTGGCACCTGCGGGACGCCGTGCGGGGCTCATGGCGGGGCGTGGGCCCGGCGTTGTGCCGGGAGGCCGGGCGGGCCAGCGCGGGGCCGGGCGGGGAGCGGGGTGTGCGTGGCGCGGGCAGCTGTGGGGGCATTTGGGGCGCTTTTTTGTATGGGGGTGACGACTTCTCTCTAGAGAGCTCCTGTGGTTGTGGCCTTTTTGGGGATTTAAACTTCGCTTAGGGTAACTCTTGTGGAGTATTTTTTTTCTTACATAAATGCGTGCTCTTTTTAGTTCCGTGTACAGCTGCACGGTATTTTTCTTTAATTTGCGTGTGGGATTGGATGGGTAGATACGTCTTTGGCCTGAAAGTTCTCCGGGTGGAAGTCAGTCTCTAATGGTTCTCAGGCTGCAGGGGTGGTACTCAAGGAGAAGATCTTAGGAAAAAATTCTGCTCTTCCGCCCAGAGCAACTGGCTCCAAGGCGGGTGTTGAGATGCTGCTTTACTGCAGTTTTTCAAACCGAAATTGTCTCTGTAAAGCTTTTTTTGGTACCGATTCATTTAAAAATGTGAAGCCGTCTGTGCTGCGTTTTTTGGACTTGTGGGGTGGACTGAGCTTGTAGTGGCATGCTGTGGCCAAATTGCAGCTTCTGTAGTTCCGTGGCCAGAGTGGGACTAAGCTTGAAAGGGGCATTAAAGAAATCTGAGAAGTTCATAGTTAATGCGTGGGGATTGCATTCCTGTAACATAATAGAATTCAGAAGCCCAGCAGGTATAGGGGGAATTTCCAGAATGCAGAATGCCTCGGATATGTGTAATATTCGTGTTCTCAGGCAAGGACAGAGCTGGCCTTGGCCCCGAGGGGGCCCAAGCAAGGCTCTGCAGCAAGCACTGAGTGCCGGTTGTCTCTCTGCAGTCTCACCGCAAGTTCTCGGCCCCGAGGCACGGCTCCCTGGGCTTCCTGCCCCGCAAGCGCAGCAGCCGGCACCGCGGCAAGGTCAAGAGCTTTCCCAAAGATGACCCCAGCAAGCCCGTCCATCTCACCGCCTTCCTGGGCTACAAGGCTGGCATGACCCACATTGTCCGCGAGGTGGACAGACCTGGATCCAGTATGTATTAATGTTCTCTTGGAACGGGAGGTGGGCTTGGTCAGGAGTGGTCACACGTGGCCCTTTCAGCAGCAGCTCTGGGTTCTAGTCCTAGCTTGGCTTCAGCCTGTTCCAAGTCCAAGTAGGAGGTGTATTTCTGCTGTAACCACTGGTTTGGTTTAGCTGCACCTTGAGATGGCTCTTCTGGATGGGGGACATCAGTCATCCGCATTCGGTGTTTTTTTGGAGATTGTCCAGTCCTTGCTGCCATCCATTTTGCCTATCCAGCTTGGCTGACCTTTCTCCTGGGCCAGCCTCAAAGTTTTGCAAGACATTAAGTAATGATTTCAGAGTTGGTTGCTTTATCCTGCGCCATCTCTGTGAAAAGACCTCGAGTCTTTTAACCTTTCACATGGAGGGCTTGGGACTGAGGAAAAACAGGTGGTGTTAGAAGAGTTGCTGCTGGAATTAATTGTGCTGTGTTTCTGTTTCCATCCAGAGGTGAACAAGAAGGAGGTGGTGGAGGCAGTCACTATAATAGAGACCCCTCCCATGGTCATCGTGGGCATCGTGGGGTACGTGCAGACTCCTCGTGGTCTCCGTAGCTTCAAGACCATCTTTGCTGAGCACATCAGCGATGAGTGCAAGCGCCGCTTCTACAAGAACTGGTGAGACTGCAGGGCCTGGCCTGCTCTCAGGCCATGATTTCTGTTTTTACTGTTGGGCTGCAATGATCCTAGCGTGGCTTTTTAGCAGTTAGTGTTTAGCTGTGACAGGCTGGCCTAATAATGGGCTAGGCTGTAGGAGTGGCACCATAGTGAGGGTGCGCCATAACTTTAGGTGGTGCTGGTGCGAGTGTCGTGCGTTTGGCTTTGCCCAGGCGCTCCCTAACAGGCTACACGTGATGATACTTCGACGGGCGGACATAAGGAAATCGCCTCTGGTGCTTGTTGATGAGTGTCGAGTCCTGACTGTAGCCCTGTTCTCTCAGGAGAGGGGAAGACAAGTGTCACTTGTGATTGCCATTCCAGGCGCTGTTGTTGTGATTGAAAGTGTGCGTTTGCCCAAGTGTGGCTCCAGCGTGTCTGGAGCTTCCAGCCTGTTTATGAACTTGGCAGGCTGAAAAGACGTCAGAATGGAGCAATAAGGTTCTCAAGGGTGTTTTAGTGACAACCTTGCTGTTGGGCACACAAGGGGGGGAAATTAGGGTATTTTGAAGCAGATCGCAGTCATCTCGTAATAGCTTTAAAGATCTGTTTTTTTTCTGTTATTGTTTGACATCTCCTTACAGTCTTTTGTTTTCTGTAGCGTGAATGTTAATGTGCTTTGGAATTCATGGCAGCTCCGCTCAGCTTTGGCAATTTTGCCACTGTCTGATGAGCTCCAGGCTCCGCTTGCCAGTG